GAATCTATATTTTAATTCTTGTTTGTTTTGTTCATTTAGACATCATCTAGGTTTTAGCCTTTGGATGGGACAATTGTAAACTAGGTGACAGTTTGTGTTTATTTTCCACACCTGGGAGCTTCTTCAAGATCAACTACAACCTACACACATACACACACATGCATGCGTGCACATGCATGTGCACACACACACACACACAGAGAGAGAGAGAGATTGACAGAGAGAGAGAGAGAAAATTTAAGAATGACATAACTTTAAAGACATAAATGAATGACTATAATGGTTACAATGGTGGAATTATACCCTATGGCAGACAATCACTGAGATATTTATTTTTAGGAGGGGGGAATTTCTTGTGCCCCTCAAATTATATTTTTTTCCAGGACTCATTTATATATCTATAGCATATAGGGGATTGACTATTAGTTGATCTCACTGAGGTTCATTCTAATCAGGACATACTATGGTATGTATATACTCAAAAAAAAAAAAAAAAAAAAAAGAACACACCATTAAAATCCATTCATTTCTGGGCTTTGAAATGGAACTTTCTTCCACTTCTCTGTGCTTTTAATCAGTACCCCCTCCCTACACACCCACCCACAGCTTATATTCTTCTCGTCTACCAAAAGGAGAAGCAGGATCAAGTTGTCTTTGAACACACAAGTTCTACATAAGGGAAGTGATGTGAAAATTTAAGACAATGACCTAAATAATTCACCCTGAAAACACTTTTACCTTAAAATATTCAGATAATGACGGTGGAAGACATATTTCAAAGCACCTCAGATCACCAGATAGTTATTCCAATTCTATACTTGTGTTTTGCATCAACCTGATATATAAGATAGTGATGGTAGTAAGTGAAAATAAAAACAACACCGTCCTGTACCAAGCTAATCATATTTGAACAGCGAAGTTCTCAATATTCTTGTAAATTGATTTCAATGTAATAAAGCCAACAAACTGAGAACAATGTAATAGATTTGAATGAAAAGGCCCCACCTTCCAGACCACAAGTCAACTCTCTCCTTTTTTTCCCTGTACTTTTTGTGGTTTTGCTGTGAACATAGAACACGTGTTGGAACCCAAGACTTTATGTTGGTGCATTGGTATAATTTTTTTTTTTTTGAGACAGAGTCTCCCTCTGTCACCCAGGCTGGAGTGCAGTGCCATCTTGGCTCCCTGAAACCTCCGCCTCCCAGGTTCAAGTGATTCTCCTGCCTCAACCTCCTGAATAGCTGGGATTACAGATGTGGACTGCCACGCCCTGCTAATTTTTGTATTTTTAGTAGAGACAGGGTTTCACCATGTTGTCTAGGCTGGTCTCAAGCTCCTGACCTCAGGTGATCCACCCACCTTGGCCTCCCAAAGTGCTGGGATTACAGGTGTAAGTCACTGCACCAGCTTCATTAGTATTTTTATAGATACTCTGGTCCCAACCCAGGTAGATATTTTTCAACTTTCTAAGCAAATTTTTAAACAATATTGTATAGTAAATCTGGAATGTTTTCATCCCTTTGTTAATTAAAAATAAACCAACAGGCTGGGCATGGTGGCTCACACCTGTAATCCCAGCACTGGGAGGGCAAAGCAAGTGGATCAGTTGAGCCCAGGAGTTTGAGACCAGCCTAAGCAGCATCGTGAGACCATGTCTGTACAAAAATTACAAAAATTAGCCTGGCATGATGGCCTGCGCCTGTAGTCCCAGCTAACTCGGGAGGCTGAGGTGGGAGGTTGGCTTGGGTCTGGGAGGTAGAGGTTGCAGTTGAACCTGGGAGGTGGAGCCGAGATCATGCCACTGCACTCCAACCTGGGAGACAGAGCTAGACCCCTGTCTCAAAAAAAAAAAAAAAAAAAAAATAGGTGGGGCGTAGTGGTTCACGCCTGCAATCCTAACACTTTGGAAGGCCGAGGCTGGTAATCACTTGAGGTCAGGAGTTAGAGACCAGTCTGACCAACATGGTGAAACCCCTTCTCTACTAAAAGAACAAAAATTAGTCGGTCATTGTGGAGCAGCTACTGTAATGCCAGCTACTCTGGAGGCTGAGGCAGGAGAATCGCTTGAACTCAGGAGGCAGAGGTTACAGTGAGTGAGATCACACCATTGAACTCCAGCCTGGGTAACAGAATGAGAGTCAGTCTCATAAATAAATAAATTAATTAAATTAAATAAAAATAAACCAACAGTCTCTTAAAAGCTGGGCTCTTGCACAACCCTAAACTGCCTCAGACAAGCCGTGGTCAGTTTGTGAGACTCATTCATCATGTGCAATTGTGGCCCCATGGCGCCCTTCAGATTCAAATTCTCATCCAACTTCCCTTGCTACCACAGGTTGCCCTCAAACTTTGTTCTCTTAGTCACATCTGGCAGAAAACTCAGATGAGTAAGAGAAATACCTTGTTTTCTGGTGGCCAAATCTTGATTTCTTATCACTTGGGGCCATTATTGACAAAATGTTCTCCGTAGTTCTAAAGCTTTAGTGTACGAGGCCACGGGGTTGTGAAAGGTACTTTTGAAAAATTCAGGTCTCATAACTCCAGCCCAGTGATGCTGATCCTAAAGTTCTAGGGATAGGGAGTTGGAGAATGCAGGTGGAATCAGAAATCTGCCTTGAGAATAAAATAACCACAGGCCACCCTGACAAAGGTGGTCTCCCGGCCTCCCTTTAAGAAGCACTGAGAACCCCAACCTCTTCTGATGGTTGGACAGTGATACTTTACCAGCAGAGGCAGGACCCCGTATGCGTTCCAATGTGATATTCCTCTCTGAGCTCTTTAAACGGAATGACAGCCCAAGCCGTTGGGCGTGTTAGCAACAGGTGCCCCAAAGGCTGGCTTACCCATGTGTCTCTGTGCGGGGAAGCTTTCAGGGCGTCGCTTCCCTCCACAGCGCACAGTGAGAGGAAGAGCGGCCAGCTCCGCCCGTGGCGGCCCCCACCCTGCGCGCCCCGCCACTTACTTGCCCACCACCAGGCTGGCGCCCTCCAGCACCGCCAGGCTGCGCAGCGCGTCCCGCGTCAGGAAGCGCTCTCCACGGGCGCACACCAGCACCACTTGCCGCGCGTTCTCCAGCAGGAGCCTGTGGCCGCCTGCCATGTCGCTGCTCGCCGAGGGTCGCCGGGAGGCCACCGGGCTCGGGCCGTGGGCAGGACGCAGTGGAGGACGAAGAGCCGCGGCCTGCGCCGCCCCGGGCGGGGAGGGTGGGGCGGGGGCGGGCGCTCGAATCCGCTGCCCTTTGCTCGCCTCCCCCAACCACAGCGATGAGGGCGGTAATCATTCCAAGAATGGCAATGAGGAATAAACCTGATGAGGAATCTTTGTCGGTCGTCTTGTCCCGTCCTGAGTCAATGAGATGGAGACTAGTGTTCCTATTTTTCGGATAAGGAAACTGCAGCTTGGTCGCCCCGACAGTTCAAAGTGGGCTGTTGACCAGTTGGTTATGTGGAAGCACGTCAAGGGGATGGGCGAGGGCGCCCGGAGTGTTCGGGAGTGAAAGGCGAGAACCTGGGGTAGAGCTCCGAAGGAGGCGCAATGGCGGAAAGCCTCAGCCCAGGGGGTTGGGCAAGAGCCTGGAGGCAGCGCTCCTGGAGAGGGCAGAGTAGGGGCAGGGACTGGAGCTTGGAGGTAGAGCACGGGGAGAGGACAGAGTCAGGGAAACCTCTGCCCAGAGGGCTGGGGAGGGAGCCCCGGACGCGGAGGGCCGCGGACGAGGGAGCCTGGGGGTAGGGAGGAGGGGATGCGGCGGGGGAGCCGCTCTTGGGTCCGCGCGGGAGGCCGGTGCCGCGCACTTATCCGTTGGGCAGCTGCGTTCCGGGATCCGCTACCAGACGGGCCCTGAGATGATCTGGAACCGGGCTGGGGGACGGTAGAGCAGAGACCGGAGGATCGATTGGCATCTCCACCCACTTTCCCCACATCGCGTTCCCGAAACGGATCCAAACTCATTGAGGTAAATCAGGTGTCAGCTCACTGTCTGCCCCTGCCCCTCCGAGTGCTCCCTCCCCGACTCAGCTGTGTCTGGTGGGGTCCACAAGCAACATGCGACCAAAATTGGAGACGGACTGAAGTTTATGGAAAGATGGTCTGTGATTCTCAGCCACGTCGCTTCCCGCCCATCAGTTGCTATGGAAACACTGCCCGTCATAGGCTTTTGTTCTGATTCCTTAATTACTTGATTTCGTTTATACATGTTTATTATAAACCCTGTTTTAAGCCTTGTGGAACATACAAAGACAGGAAAAGCACTTTCCCTGCCCAGCAAAGACTTTACAATAAAAATGATAGAAATGGACACAAATAATATACTATAAAAGCAGATCGAGCCTGCAAAACCACAAAATATAAAAGTTAATTTAGTGTCTTTAAAAAAACATAGAACAGAAAGCAAAAACTCCTTTAGATGACCACGATAAATAAGAATATAATTTAGCTTCATATTATGGTCTATGAAAGAGAGACCATTAGGAAAGACAGAGGGAAAAAAAAAAAAAAAGAAAAGAAAAGAAATAGACAACGTGAGTGAAAAAGATCCTAAGCGTGGGGGGACATCAGAAGATTATTCACAGCTTACATACTCAACCACGAACAGGTTGTATGTGTGTGTGCATAGCTTTTTTTTTTTTTTTTTTTTTTTTTTTTTTTTAACAGTAATTTAAAGTTTATTCCATCCGGGCGCGGTGGCTCAAGCCTGTAATCCCAGCACTTTGGGAGGCCGAGGCAGGTGGATCACGAGGTCGAGAGATCGAGACCATCCTGGTCAACATGGTGAAACCCCGTCTCTACTAAAAATACAAAAAATTAGCTGGGCATGGTGGCATATGCCTGTAATCCAAGCTACTCAGGAGGCTGAGGCAGAAGAATTGCCTGAACCCAGGAGGCGAAGGTTGCGGTGAGCCAAGATCGCGCCATTGCACTCCAGCCTGGGTAACAAGAGCGAAACTCGGTCTCAAAAATAAATAAATAAATAAATAAATAAATAAATAAATAAATAAAGTTTATTCCAGCTATAATGCAGGTTATTCTGACTTTAAAGTAGCATCACATGGCATACTTCTGAGTCCATTCCCGAGATATTCTGTTGTACTTATCTCTGTCTGTTTTATAGATCCGTGCAATCTTTGGCACTAGGGGGTCATCTGGATTTGGATCACATAGCAGTGAACAAATGGATAAAAGAACTTTAGGAATTGTTAAAGCCGGCGACCACTGTGATCTTAGAATATCGAGACAAATGCTGCCATTACTGTTAATAGTTGGATGATAAATTCTTGTTGTAAATGCAACCTTAGGTGGTTTGAAGGGGTAGTCTGTAGGAAAATGAATTGTCAAAAAGAATACACCGCCTTGATATGGGCTATCATTAGGTCCCATAATTGTGGCTTGCCAATGAAACATATCATCCCCAACTGGATCTGCAGAACATTGTGCTGGAGGGTCACAGGCCAAATCACTAAGTTCCTTATTAATCCATTTCAGCGCCATAGTGTGTGCTTGTCGTCTGGCTCCTCACTCTCTCAGTGTGTGCTCAAAGGTCAGGCCAAAACTCTTGATTATCCCGGCGGCGGGGTAGGATTGTCTGGTCTCACACCAGCTCTGCCAGACACAGGCGCTTGGTATTGAGGCGACGACTCTGGCGAGAACTTCGTGGCTGGCTAGTGCATAGCTTTTAAAAAGTTTATGCACATATATATTTCTATGTCTTTAAAAAGAGAAGTAGCAATAGTGGGGAATAGAAACACATAAAGTCACTAACTCACAGAGAAATATTAAAATTTTATATTATAAAATTTCTGCTAAAGACTTTAATCGGTTACATTTCGCAATTTTAGGCATATTTGCAGAACTATGCAATTATAGGTATAACGGATGGATTAAAATTATAGAAAAATAGAAAGCGTTCAACAAAGTTTTCTTAGTCTCACTTCTGTTTTCCTACGAGCTGTTTGGGAAATTTATTTATGGTAATTTCCCAAGGCCTCAGTTTTCTCATCCCTATCATAGGGATAGTTGTTTCTACCTTGTGGGCTTGTCTGTATTTTAAATAAAATAAAATGTAAATCAGTGTCAAGCTCTAAACAAGTAATAGGTATTAGTAGTAGTAGTAGTTTTTTTGTTTGTTTGTTTGTTTTTTGTTTGTTTGTTTGTTTGTTTTTGAGACCGAGTTTCGCTATTGTTACCCAGGCTGGAGTGCAATGGCGCGATCTTGGCTCACCGCAACCTCTGCTTCCTGGATTCAGGCAATTCTCCTGCCTCAGCCTCCTGAGTAGCTGGGACTACAGGCATGCGCCACCATGCCCAGCTAATTTTTTGTATTTTTAGTAGAGATGGAGTTTCACCATGTTGACCAGGATGGTCTCGATCTCTTGACCTCGTGATCCACCCGCCTCGGCCTCCCAAAGTGCTGGGATTAAAGGCTTGAGCCACCGCGCCTGGCCAGTAGTAGTTTATTTTGATGCTGCTATTTGTCTTTCTGACCAGTTAAGGATTAGATTTCAGCCAATAGACCATGTACTTAAAGCTTGCAGGTTCTGGGTGAGTCTAAAAGAAATTATATTTCTTTTTCATAGATATTTATGTCTGTGGGTGAACTGTGCATCTGATTCACAGTCCAGACAGATACATTGAGAAGCTCTTGCAAACAGGAGGTTTGCAGCAGCAGAAGGGATGAGTGAATTTCTCTCCTTGGTTACTGTTCAGTAGTTAGAGATGGGTAAGAATGACACATTTTTGCTTGGGAATAACCAACATCCCAATAGCAGCTCTTAAAAAGTACTTTTCACATTATCTGACGCGCATTTGTTGACTCTTTAACCTGTCCTTTCTTCTTAACCTCCAGTTTTTTTTTTTTGTTTGTTTGTTTTTTTTTGTTTTTTCCACTTCGCAAAAGGGGCAGTCAGAAAGGTCAACAGAAAAGTCCCTACTAAATAGCCTGACGCCAGCAGTGCCTCAAAGGTCAAGCTGAAAGTAATTTCCTCATCATTGTGCTATGCTCTGACCCAGTCAAAAGAGGCTGTGTGCGGGTGAGCAGGCCAAGGACCCAGTGGCTCCTGGCTTTTAGGTAAACAAAAAATTGCTAGCTCTGATCTCTCCACACCGTGCAAGGACACAGTTCACAGCCCCTTTTCCTAGTATTTGTCCAAGGTGGGTGGAGAGGAGGTGGAAAAAAAAGTGGGAGTGTACTGGGTCTGGGAGAACCGGTCTGAATCCTCATATGGATGCGAAGATAAACACTGCTTTTTATCTCATATTGAGATCATCTGGAAATCCGTTTTCATTGGGTTTTAGAGGGTGTTGCAAAAAACAAATAAATGACTTCGAATAATTGAGATCATCTGGAAATCTGTTTTCACTGGATTTTAGAGGGTGTTGTTGCAAAAAACAAACGACTTCAAATAATATCTGGCAGACAGTGTTATTCATTTTACTTAGAGTTGGTTTAGAACCTTAGGCCTGGGCCTTATAAAACTCCACTCTCCTTTCCTCACTTCCCCTGGAGCTTGGAATGTTAAGAATCTACACGAAGCTGATTCAGGTCCCTAACATTTGCACTGATATTGTTGGTAGACTGCTCTCCAATGACCAGGTTTCAAGAACTTTGGGAGTTTCTTAGGAAAAGTAATTGTCAGTTACGCTTCCATTTCAAATGGCGGCAGTTATTCACAAGACAGACTGGGCCAGAAAGAGGAGGATCTGGACAATATCTACTTTGAAGAAAGTATAAGTGATCACTTCTTCACAACCTACTACGAACAGGCACTTTGCATGTATTATCTGTGTTTGAAAATTCCAGCAAGCCTGTAAGGAAGGTGTTATTATTCATACTTGATAGACGATTCTATGGTACATTCAGCCTAATTCTCTAGACCCTAGAGAAAGAGTGGATAGGAGTCAGAGGCAGGAGTTAAAGCTGCCTGCCCCCAAAGCCCAGAGGTCTTTCCACAGTGCCATTCCTACTACCCTTGCAATGACACTTGTCAAGGGACCTGATTCAGAAAGCACATGTAATTGTATAGATATTAGAGGAATACAATAATTAATTAAATCAACCATCATGGTGTTTGCTTGAAAGAACAGTATACATTACACTCATGCCTCTTTGGATATATGATACATACCTCACATTTCACACGTCCCAAAATGAGCCTCTGATCTTCCCAGCTGCCCCTTCCCCCACTGCCGTCTCTGTCTCCATTTATGGCAACTCCATCCTTTCTTGCCTCAGTTCTTTATCTCATACTCCACATCCAAACGATCAGCCAATCTTGTAGGCTCTACCGTCAAAATATATCTAGAATTGGACCACGTCTCACCACTTCCACTGCTATCCCAAGGGACCCCGCTATCTCTTGCCTCCCAGTGGTTGTAGTCTCCTAGTAGATCTCCCTCTGTGACCCTTTTCCCTTTCTGCAGCCTCTTCCCAGCTCAGCATCAGAGTGATTCATTGAATGGTTCCATTTCACTGAGAAAATGACCTACAGGGCCCTAGCGATCTTGGACTTGTCTCTCTGGCCTCATCTGGCATTCTCCCCTTTGTTCACTGTGCTTAAGGACCACCAGTCTCCTTATTGTTCCTGAAACACATCGGGCACATTCCTCCCTTAGAACGCACCTCTCCATGTGCTTACACTCCCATAGCACTTACTATGCAACTGATGCCATCCAAAGGCTGGACATGGTAACTCACCTAATAATCCCACAAGGTAGGCACTCTTTGCATCATTCCTCTTGAAAGATGGGGAAATTGTAGTGTGAGGATTAAGGGACATAGAGTCTATGCTCTTAATCGTTTAGTTCATGTCACCTCTGAAAAGGATGACTGGCAGTTCCACACCACCATTTTACATTCCTGATATTTCTGAGCTGTTGATCTTTTTCATCTATTGGAAGTAGAATTTGAACATGGATTTAAGGTGGGAATTTTCAGGCATTTGCTATGCAATCCAATTACATTTTCCCTCTCTTTTGGTACAGAGCCTTTGTTTAGCCATCATGCTATTTTTATTTTGCACCACAAAGACGTCCACTGACTTTTAACATTTTTTTTTCTGATTGGAAAGGGGATTTTATAATCCCTTTCTAAGAATAACTGGTTCTGTTCCTCTCCCTCCCTTTTGTTTTTCACCAACCTTTCATTCATCAATAGGGGAATTCATACATATGGAGGTATAGAAGTATAACAACGTCTAGAGACTGCTGGTTGTATGAACTATGTAAGAGATGGAATAAGAGCAGATATCTGCTCTTAGCAATTGGCTTAGAGGAACAGAACTTTCAGTTTTTCTGTGAGTGACAAAGTGCTTGAACCCATGGATAAAAATGCTCATTGCAGAAAGACGTTAAAGATAAAGGGAACGGGAGTGGGAAGGGGAGTGAATTTAGATAGATAGACCAACCAAAGGAATGAAAATGTAACAAGAAAGAGGTGAGCAGAATCTTAAGAGTGGAGATGAGTACAGAGTGTAAAATTAAGAAAATCCATAAACCTTTCATATTATCCATTCAAATTCCAAATACTTATTAACCACAGGTTGTCACCAAATTTTTCACCGATCCTTCTTCTCCACCCACGAGAATGAATGTAACGCCTGTAAAAAAATGTACAGTCATTTGAAAAGGTATAATATCAATGTCATAAGTTTTTATTCATTTGTTTCTCTTTTATAATCTTTAACACAATTTTTAAAAAAATCTTTGTTTTTATAACCACTGGAACTAAAATTGGATGCTAATTAGCAAATATTAGCACATAATAGTTCCCACTTACTGAGCTGGTCTGTAAGCCAGGCACCCTACTTGGTTAAACCCATTGCCCACTGAATTCTCCAGGAAGCCTTAAGAGGTGTGTCACTTTATGAAACAGGAAGCAGAGGCTCAGAGATGCTGAGTAATTAAGATGTAGGCTCCATGAAGACAATGGTTTTTGTTCTTCTTTTTTCGCCTTTTTAAAAATTGCCCTGTCCTCCACATGTAGAACAGTGCCCGACACATAGCAGGTACTAAATAGATGTTTTTTGAATGATACATGAACTTGCTCACACGTAAGTAAATACCAAACCAAGGTTCAAAAATCAGGCTTGCCCGAAGTCTACGTTCTTAATCACATGCTGCTCTGCTTCCAGGATATTTCGCTCTTAAATATGGCTCTTTGAGATTCCCGAGGCACAGATTTAAATGGGAAGCCCAAAATAGGGTGTGTTTTCCATTGTTTCTGCTGTGGGCACACTTCTTAATATAAACAACTGGGTATCTCTGATCCCCAAAATGAATATATCTTTTGTTTTTCTCATTGTAAGAGTTACACCAATTCATTGAGAAATTTGAATGATACCCAAAATATAGAAATCAGAACAAGGATTAGGGTAAAGCCAGTGAAGCTCTAGCTTCAGGCACAAAATTTAAAGGGGAAAGCAAAAACTCAGTAATCAAAATAAGCAATATTCTAATTCATTAGGTAAAAAAAATGTAAATTAAAGCAAAAAAATAATGATAAACAAAAAACCAGAATTTTAAATAGACAAGTTCTGTGGGCCAGGATTTGGGTGAGCGGAGTAAGGCACTGGCTCTCACGGTCACACAAGTACAGGGTCGGATACTGTCTGTATTCGCAATTTCGACATTTTGTTCATTATAGACTTCCCTGCATTTATTT